TAGATTTTAATAGAAAATATTTAATATATTTTATACTTGATTTTAGCCAAAAGACCAAGAGGCAATAATTACATGTTACATATCATATGATACATTATTATAATACAATATAGACTGTAGATTATATGTTAGTATTATATGTTATTATATTCTACAATGTATGTTTTATATTAAAAATATCCTCTTTCACTAAATGTTATATAAAGATATTTTCATTATAAACCATTTTCTATGATATTGTGTATAACAGATAATAATCTGGTACTATGTTTATCTGGTGCTTTTGTAGTTTCTCAGGTATGTTCATTTGGTCTCTATACCAACCAAGAGAAGTAAACTAAACTGGCTTTGCTCTCATTTTTTGGGGTTGAAAATTGACGAGGATCAGAAGTAGTGGCAATGCTGGAATCAGAACCCACTTCTGATAATGATAGTCTTCTGACTACATCAAGTGCTTTTCAAATAGCAAGTGTATTAAAGACCTGTGCAGGGTGGGCTGTATATCCAGCCTTGCCGGCACCCCTATGCGGACAGCAGGAATAGCTCTAGGGCAGGGCAAGTTTGCCCAAGGTAAATGGAGACACTGGCTATAGGACGAAACTTTGGCAATATGTATTATCTATGACTACTTTAATTTCTAGAGTAATATGGCATTAAAAATGTCAAATATACCTGGAAAGATTTCATAAGAAATTGCACAAAGCATTCAGACACTGAACTATGGACTGATGGTAAGAATCTAGCTTCAGTTTAAGGGTTATTCAGCTGTGCCTCATCATATATAGTAAATAAGATGAGGGGGCTGCCTGGACGGAGGAAACTCCTGTGGAAACTCATTGAGGAAAAGTGGAGTTATGCACAATGTGTTTGATTAGGTAAGAAAGCCTTGGATCTTGGTTCTGAGAGGTGGGGAGGGGTTGTGAATACTGTTGGCGCCTGCCACTTGGTTTGGTTCCCTAACTCAGCTCCATTGAATGAATAGGCCTGTGCCGTGGCCGGGCTCATAGCACTCATGTGCAAACTAGGACACTTCACCTCCTTTGGAGCACAAGGGTCAGTAGCTCAGCGAAATGATGTAGTCCTTGTGGGGTAAAACGACTCGTCCTCCTCCAGCGAAGTATATCCCTCATCAGGGGCAGCAGTAGGTGGACTTACAGCCCTTACTCAACTATATGCCCATTTAGGGAGCATACAAACTCATACTTGAGCAAAAAAAAGTTTCATGAGAGGAAAACTATTGACCATATCAGTAGCTGAATGTATGGACCCCTTCCTAGGTGTTTTGGAGTGGCGTTGTCTCTTACATTTTAACAGGAAACTGCTGTTTTGACAACTTAAGGGGCTTCAGTGACTCTATAGGGGCAGGAGACTGTGGTACCCAGCAAACACAGTCCAATGTGGCAGTGACAAATTGTGGGTCTCTAACAGTCATACAGGTGCCCAATGGGTGCCTGTAGAAAATGGCAACTACCCCAGAGATTTGGTAGGGACTAGCAGGTGCCGCCAAGCTGAGGCTCTTGGTGGCTCTTACTGGGTTCTCAGTAAAGCCGTGATGAAGTTAAGCAAGAAAGACGTGCATGTACATTTGTGAAGACCTTAGGGGCTCCCAGATGCTCTTGCCAGGGGCAGAATGCAGGTGAGAGCCCTACATCAGAGCCTAGGGGTGCTGCCTTAACAAGATGGTGGAGGAGTGAACATTAATGGAACCTGACTTTTTACTGTTACTGTCAGTCCATCTGTTCCCTAGTCTGGTGGGTAGCTTGAAGTAACTCAGGTTCCACAAATAAAACTTTAATAGTACTTCATGTAGTTCACTTTTTTTTTTTTAGATCAAACATTGAAAGGGTTTTCGGAAAAGATGTGGCTTGGTGTCATTCCTCTAGAAATGTTATACATGTTTTACTGTAAAAGAAAAATTTGATAGACTTTTATATTTTTGTGCATGCCACATCCAAATAATCCCACAATTAGTTGTTAATAAAAGGAGGAATGCTTCTCCACACACCATAAATAACTTTAATAAAAGCCAAGCTAGTTGAACAGGTGCAAATTGACAAGGAGGTGATGGGTGGTATAGGGTCATAGCATGAATAATAGATGTTAGAATTTAACTGACTGATCAAATTCAATGAAGAAGAAAATCACTTTTGAGGGAGATGAGGAAATCACCTGGAAATGTTCTTTGGCTATTTGATTTAGTAATTAATTTTGCAGAGATGGTGTGATTCAGTACAACTCCACAGTCATACTTGGTTTTTATGTAAAAGAGAAGCAAGACACCAAATGACTATAGGCCAAAAATAAATGTTTTTCAATGAGCTGTTTTTTTTTTTTATGGGTTATAAACAAGAAACAGCTTTATTCTGTCTCACCCTCTTAAAGGCTCTCTGTTTCATATCTTCCATCCTGGATCAAATTCCACATCTTTTCTGATGAAATTTTCCACTTCAGAATGAACTGGAAAATTGCATGCTTGAGCAGTAAAAACATTCTTGTTATTTTCAGTCAGTAGAAATTCCTATTTAAATAACTAAACATTCCACTCATGTGGGGGTGCAAAATTCAGTGCAAAATCCATGTCCCTTTCCCCTAACTTGGAACCTGGAAACAGTCATGAGAAGTGGGATTCCTCATTGTCTTTGCCTTCTCCTAAATGCTTTTTGTGACCCTTCCCTTGATGGTCAGGCATAAGGAGCAGAGCAGGGACGTGATTAAGGAAGCAGACATATAGCTTTCCTTGGCAGGCATGGGTGTGGTGGGGCTTCAGTTCCTTTTACTGTAGGGCATGCACATTTGATACTTGCTGATTCCATCATTCTGGCTCTACTGAGCTCTCAGCCCCAAACTTGAATATCTGAACCATCCTACTTAGGTACTCTCTGTGGGGTCCCCAAGCCATCCATGTAGTCTTGTGGGGTTAGACTCAAAGTGATCCCAGATGGCTGCCTCCATGTCTCCTTTAGGTCCATAGCACAACTCTGCCTTCTTGCCCTGCCAAGAAGGCAGCACAATTCCTTCTGAGTGGTCTATTTCTTTACTTTTGACTGTTACCTCCAAGAATATTCTTTTAAGCCTTTTGACTTTTTAAAGATTTATTTATTTTTTGCATACAAAACTGGGGTGCAGGCATGAGATACAGGGGCAGTGAGAGGATTCACCAGAGGCAGAGTGGGGAGCAGAACAGGCAGATCTATGAAGTACACTGCTGAGAGGAGCAGTAGGCAAGTCAGGAGACCGAACTTGTACTGAAGCTGCTTTGGCTAAGCCTTTTGACTCCTTTGCAGGAGTCAAGAGAGAAGACTTTAATCTCCCTCATGTCCCACATACTTCAGAGGATTGTGTCAAGTCTTTGAGTGACACTCTTGCCAACCCTTTCACTTGTCTGGATGTAAGGGACTCCAGTCTGGTATTTTCTCTGACACTTCCTTCACTTTCTGTCACAGATTCATTCATGTTGGGAGACAAAGGATTGTTCCCACTGACTGAACTCTTCACAATCTCTCCACCAAGCATTCAGAGGTTGGATGATGTCATGCTTCAAGATAGGATTCTCATCATGCTGAGTTTGAGAAGATAGGTTTCAGAAAAGCTTCTAGAGCCTGCATTTGTGATAAGAATAGGAAGTAATAATGAAAGTTGATGATGGTCATCCTATTAAGTCATCAAGAAAATACTTTTAGTGTATTCTATGAGGAAGGGTTGGCCCAGTTACTGTGTAATCTCCAGTACCTCCAAATCCATTCTCCGCTCTTCTCTACCCCATCTGTAACCAGGGAGACTGTTAATGACAGATTTTTTCATGTTCCCTTGTTCTTTGGATTCTTGTTAAATTTTGTCAGTAGAAAGTACTTGCTGGTGATTGAAAATGGGATGAGAGAGATGTTCTTAGTTCCTGGATTCTTGGTTTTTGAATTCTTCCCATACTTCTAAAAGTAGCTTTTTAAAAAAGATAATATAATTACATCATTTTGTGCAAAAATAGCCTTTTAACACTTCTCTTATTCTTTGGATTATTTATCTGTTTGCTGCAAGGAATGTGTGTGTTCTTATGTGCATGAATATTTTTCAATAAATCTAAAAGAGAAACATTTAAAATGTCAACCTTGACTATCTGGTTTCAAATCTCATCTTTGCTTCTTCCTAGTTTTGTGGGCTTAACATTTTTTTTCCCCAGAAACATCATTTTTCTCATGTGAAATGAAAACAATAACTCTACATACTTCAGAGGTTTGTTAAAATGACTAAGTGTCCAAATTCATGTAAAAGACTTGGTGCAGCGGCTGACTCACAATAGTTTTCTGAACATTATAATAAATATTGCCATTGTTATTTTGTGGAAGTAGTTTTTAGTCTTCCTTGAAACAGTGGAAAGTATGAAGGAAGGTGAAGTCGTGATATCACCCCAAACTAAACAATCAAAATGAGCTTTTGATTTGCACACCACAGAATCTGGCTTTTTTATGTTAAATACAAGTTACTGGGACTTTGCAGGGGAACTTTTTAAGGAGAAATGAAAATCAATGGAATAATTTGTAGGCACCTATAGGTCAAAGGGAAGGACTTGTGAGAACCCAGCTTTGATCAATAGGAATATGCTGACTCTGAAGGAAAACAACTTTATCTCTGGAATATTTTACCTGACTTGGTAACATTAAAAAACTCATGGGGGGGG